ATGAATTAGATATGAACTGTCTTGTGTACTGATTTGATGTGAATTATGTGCTCTTATGAATGTTATGATGAAGAGGATCCCTATGTGTGTGAACTTATGAATATGACTATGAGAAATGTGACATGTGAACAAGTGACATGAAACATGATATGATGTAACAAGTGAAATGTTGAGTCAATGAAGTGTGAATGTGTGACATGCATCATGTACATCTATGTGATGGGTACGATGTAGAGTACATTATTAGGAAATGTCCTCCTTGTGTAACAACTTAGGGGAGTCCTAGGGGGATAGTGCGGTTTGGATGTCTCGATTACGCCCGTTATGAGACGTAACTTGCGTAGCTTCCCTATCTTGACTAGACCCTAGCAGTACATCCTTCTAGTTGAGGGTGTATGGGTAACTCCCTACATGTACTCCTAAACTACCTTAGGTGTATTGTTTAGGCAACACACTTGTGATATATGACAGGTAACTAGCGCCACATGCATACATTTATGAGTCGGGTTCATGACATCATTGCATGATGAGTGACTGTGTATGTGTTACTATTGTACGTATAACTTGAATTTGCACCTGATTAATGTGTAGCTATGCATATGCTTATTATAATTTGTACGTGTATTGCCCGACTATTATTTTTACACTTGAACCCGAGTGAGATGTTACTCACTCTCTTGTTTGCGCTATGTGTATTTTTATTGTGTTGCAGGTGACATCAACATGAGGATGTTGGTAATGAGGTTTAAGTCTTATTGTGGAGCGTGCTCTGATAGGATATATGACATCGTTAGGACTAGTTTAGGACTTTAGTTTCTTTCTTTTGTTTTGAAAAACATTTAACTTTATTTTTTCTATAATTTTCGCAAGTGAATTATGATTATGTATACGAATGTGAATCCCTTACCTCTTAGTTATTTGAGTCTTATCTAATTGAGAAAGTTTTTATTCATTCTAAATTTCTGCTTACAATTATTGTATATTATATTGGGATAGAGGGTGTCACACCAACCCTATTGATAATATCTTTAAACATATAAATTATATTTTAGATTTATGATAAATACTTTATATTGTAACATAATATTATTTTATTTATTGAAAAAATATATTTAAAAATATTAAAATTTAATTTATAAATAATTATGATGAATAAAAATCAAATTTGATAAGAAGTTAATAAAAATTTTAAAAACCCTTTCATTGAAAAACAAATAAAAAACGCTTTAACATAATATAACAATTCATATTTAATATATAGGGCTCATTAAAAACTTGATATTTCCCTAAAAAAAAACTTGATATGTTAGTGATTCAAAACTTGATTACTTGAGATTGTAATATTGTATGTACTTTGGATCATGTATTAAAATTTGAATTAAGTATCTATTTCTTTTGAATAAATTAAACTTTTGGTTCTCCTATAATAATCTCTTATTCATAATTTTGGTCTCTTTATTTTAATTATAAAATTTTGATCTTCCAATTTTTAAAATTATGTAATTTTAATTCTCTATGTAAATTGACTAATAAATGATTATTAATTAATGATGAAGTGACATTAATATTGACATAGATCAATGACGTGTTCTTTGACTCATATTGACTGATGAGGGAGAACTCTAACAATGATGTGGTTCTAACATAGGAAATAATAAAACTAGTCAACAATGTTACATATAAAAAAAATTAAAATTATTCTACCAATAATTAAATTTTGTCCGTGTAAAAGAATTTAAATGTAAGAAAGTGAGTGAGTCATACTAGTTGGTAGGGATGTTCAAAACTAAAATAACCCAAACAAAAAATAGCAAATTGATCAAAAAAAATTAAAAATTGACAGAAAACTGAAAATTAGTGGTTTGACGATTTTTTAATTTTCAAAATTACGTGATTTAGTTCAGTTTTTGAATTGAAATTTGAAACCACTCAAAACTAAATTAAACCAAACTTTTATATAT